AAGTAAATCCATGGTTTCCTCACACCTTGAATACTGCATGCAGTTCTAGTTTCCCCATCCCCCCAAAAATATGTAAAGATAAAGGCAACAAAAATCATTAAGGGTATGGAACAGTTTCCATAGGAGGAGGATTGAAACCCGAAGATGTGGGTTGTAGCCCACGAAAGCTTATGCTCTAATAAATTTGTTAGTCTCTAAGGTGCCACAAGTACTCCTGTTCTTTTTACGGATACAGACTAACATGGCTGCTACTCTGAAACCTGAAAAGATAGGGACTGTTCAGCTTAGAAGAGAGATGACTAAAGGGGGATATGATAGAGATCTATAAAATCATGTATGGTGTGGAAAAAGTGAATAGGGAAGTGTTATTTACCCCTTTACATAACATAAGAACTATGGGTCACCTGATGAAATTAATAGACAGCAGGTTTAAAACTAAGAAAAAGAACTACACAACACACAGGCAAGTTATGTAACTCATTGCCATAGGATGTTGTGAAAGCCAAAAGTATAACTGGGTTCAAAAGTTCAGAACCTGACTCACCGGAGGGGGGCAAGGAAGCAGTCATCACACTTCTGTAGATGCTCATGGCAGACACATAGGAGAGGACCTGAACCCCCAACTCCTCTCCCCCGATTCCTACCTACTCTTGCACCCAGTCATCCACCCGTCCCAATGAGCATTTGCTTGTGAAAGATTTTTGTTTTGTTTTGTTTTGTTAAAAGTTTCAACGCCTTCTAAATATTCTGCTGTACTCAGAATACATTTCCCCAAAAATAAAAAGCCTCCTTTGGAGCAATATGCCTGCTTTTTTTTCATAGTGCCTGGGGCAGTGCTCAAATCTGGTGACCATGATATATCCTCAGAGCCACCCACATCCTGGGATGAAAAGGTTGTTTTCTAAATAGTTGCCTTCTTTCTATACATGTTTAGTGTAATCCCTTAAGCATGTGAGCCTCAGTGCACCTAAATGGAGAAGCAAACTCTTTTTCAAATCATGTTTTAATTTGCTTTCCCCCCAAGGGTTGGTTGGAGCCAGGCACTCTGGTGGGGTAGACCCTCGAGCATTTGAAACCCAGGTGTAATGATTTGATCTCTATGAGCAAAAGAACATTGCCAGAATGTATCAACTTTAAAAAACAGCTGTTTTGTTTTTCAGGGGTTGTATCTTGGGAGCCCATTCATTAAATGGCCCCAAATTTGGATCACTGACCATACCCCATGCTGCCATGAGGCACACCAAATTTCAAGGCAATCTGATTAACTGTACAGTTTGTTGAGCTCTTAGAACAGTCAAGCTTTAAACAGAAAGCTGGAGCTGGTCTTAACCTAAACTGTAGCAAAGCTGTCGCCTTGCTATAATAGTGCTGTAAAGAGGGATCACAGCCTATTGTTCTGCTGATATTTGGTGCAATGCATCAGTTTGTAAATCAGTATCAGGTAGCTATGCATGTGAGTCAGTTTATATTCAGAGTTTGTGAGGTGATCTGTACCTGGGTAGGTAGTTCAGATGTTTGTTATAGCCATGTCATATTTTCAAGGAAAGCCAGACTCTTTTAGTGCTGGTGTTTTAATATTTTAGTTTGAGGCCAAAGGTGTGTATCCATTGCTGACTTTTTGTTTGTTCGCTTTGTTGTTGTTGTTTAATATGCTGTGAGTGGTGTGTTAAGAACAATATTTCCTCAAACTGGTTCTGAGATCATTGGATTTGGGCTGTGATTTGTTCCATATCTCATATTCCTTGTTCTTTTCTAATCACATCTCTTTTGTGAGCCAGACCATGGTGATATATTTCCTATCAGCTCCCATTAAAATTTGAACAGATTTTGTTTTCTTAAATTTCCGAGAAAGTATGGTAGTGCTTGGGATTTTTAGCAAACTATGCTAAAGGCATTTTGTAGGCTGTTGTGAATGTATCACCAGAGATGGCTGTTTAATCCTCAACCACTAACTTTTAAATGGCAATGGTCTGATTTTCTTCTCTCCCTACTTTTATACCAGTGTGTCACAATTGATTTGCACAACAAATAAATAAATAATGAATAAATGCCGTAATTCATTAAGTCATAATGAGGCACTCCTGATTTACAGCAACATGAGTGAGAGGAAGCAGGGCAATTACATATTGAATGACCATATCTATTAATAAATAAATAAAAAGAACACATTCCAAGGAAATTAAAACCATGCTGTGGGAAACATGATAATATGCAGTGTATGTGAAAAAGTGTATATTTGAAAGATAAAATGATATGTAGCAGTAATGCTGTGCTTATGTATTACTGAGATGCAACAACATTGCTGCTTTTGTTACCTCCAGCAGCAGTGTAAACATAGATATTAGAAGTTAGAAAGTCAGCATAGTATTACAGTAAATTATGACTACAGACTACTGTGAGAAGCATCTCCAAGTGATGGTTTTCCCTCAGTGTCAACAAAATCATCAGCTTCATTCAAAAATAGTATTATTTTTTATCAAAATTACTGATCTTAAATACTGGTCTTTTGCTTTCTGACTTGTGTGGCACAGCTTCAGGCCAAGTGCTTCTAGCTCACCAGGCTAATGGATGCTGGTTGCACCGTGGAAGCTGGCATCCTTTACCTGAGATCACAGATCTTATTAGGAGATGGGAAGTTATACGAAAAAAATGGAAAAGAAAACAAAGCAGCAGAAGTACCAATATGAAGGAATAGGAGAACTCTTTCCCTGCACCTGCTCTAAAATTTAAAACCAGTAAGGGGGAATATGTAGGGCCTAAAACTTGATCCGGCTAACTGTGCTTGATACAGGTATGCCAATTATACAGCTCTCTGATCATGGGCTCAACTAGAGGTCAATATGTCCGCTGGTGCATGTTTGAGTAGGCTTAAAGTCAGGGATACAACCAGGGATCACTACGTTTTCGAGGCACTTTCCCTCCCTGCAGGTTTTTTCCTACAAGAGGTGAGCCTTGGGTTCTTAGGCCCAGATCCTCAAAGTCATTTAGGCACCTAATTCCCATTGAAATCACCTAAATATCTTTGAGGATCTGAGCCTTAGATCTAAATCTTAATTGCTCCTATGCAAGTGTGAAAGGGCTGAATGAAGAGAGATAAGAGAGTCTTTCCCCCTCTCCTTGTACACCCATGCAGAGGGCATCAGGAATCCTAGTGCTTCTCCTGCCTGAGCATGAGGGGTTGAGGATGGCTAGCACATCTGCTGCACAATCCCCGAGTCATGGCCAAGAGGATTGTTCAGAGGTGTAGGAATTGCCTTGAGGTGCTCTCCTTTTTAGCAATCCTGTAAGCCTTCAGTCTAATTCAGCATTCTGTAGGCAGAGTGCCTCCAGCCACTGTTGCTCTGGTGCTCCACCTTTTTAATCCACTCTCCCCACTCCCCAGAGCAGTTCTCGCTGTGAAAGCCAAAACAAATTCCTAAGTATGTTTTACCTTCGGTTATAACTCAGTGTTTAATGACTTTCACTAACATCAACAGAGTGTCTGTCCTATCTTTCTCATAACAAGAGGACAATAACTTTAAAATAGATCATGTAGGAAAATCCATGTCAGGTTATCATGAGCTTTCTTGCTGGTGTGAACAAACAAAATCAAACTCAAATTAGAAGGCAGTAAAATACTTTAAATAGATCATACTGATGAACAGCAGTGCTGATTCTGTCCATGTGCATGTAAGCAATTTTACGAATCTAATTTCTTCATTCATTTATCCAGGTACTCATACAGTTCTCGGGGGGAGAGGGGAAGATGGATAATAAATTACTTTTTGAGTATTTTACATTGTTGTCTAGCTCCTTCCCCAAGGTATGGCTCAAGCCTCCTCCCTGGTTCTTGCTACTTCAAGTGGTTTCTTCCCTCTACTCGGAAGGGCTGGGTCCTGAGTTCTTTTTTGTGCTGCCTAGTGTCTCCACACCTTGTGCTGTCCTTTGGGAAAATGAATAATGCTACCACTGCTGGCAAGGAGTATAAACCCCAGTACACCCCCCCACCCCAAAAAACAAAAAACAATCAACACAGACCCCAGCAAAGAAATAACACCCCCCTCCCAAATAACACTATAACAATGGGGGACTTTACTGGGAGCAGGAAAATAGTATATGGGGAAGAAAGTGTTGGGTTAACTAATAAATACTAACATCCAAAAATCAGCAAATTTCCCACCTCCCAATACTCCCAACTCTTCCCAACCCCCAGATCCCTCCCTGGCACCTTCCCAGGCAGATGGTATGCTGAAGGTGAGCCCAGAGATGAGTGTTGCAGTGCTGAGAATGTTGGCCACCTTAAACAAACAAAGGGTCTTCTTACAATGTCTTTGCTCCTGGGTGGAGTAGGTTCCTCTCCTGGCTCCCTAGTCTGGGAATCCTGTGGAGGGCTCAATTGGCTCTCAGAAGTCACGTTGGATCTCTGTCGCTCTGGACACTGGTCTCTGCGGGGCTGGAACTTCCAGACTCATACACTTGATTCCAAAGCAGTTCAGAGACTTCCTTCGGGGGGTGTTTGAGTTAATCAGAGGGTCCCTGAGCTGTTTTGCTTCTCTCTCAGCTCCCAAAAGCTCAAAACAAAAACTAAACCTAATCTGTTTGTCTCTGAGTCAGGTTGTCCCCTTGGACAGAGGGGCTGAGCAGCCCTGGCTCATCTTTGGCCCAGTAAACTACTTGTCCATATCATCCTATGCAGAAAGGTCCCTACTGGCCTCTGCAGGAGTTTCTAGTCCATTCCTGACTCCAAGTAGAAATGGTGACAGAGGGCTCTGGTAGCTGGTATTGTTGTAATCCATAGGATAGGACCACCTAAAAGCTCAGTCTAGGGTTTTAGGAACTGGCAAACTCCAAATAGGGGGTTACAGTAGATTGTATGAATAGTAGTAACATTAATGCAAAGTGGAGAGTAAGAACAATTTTTAGAACCAAAATGCCTGGTTGCTAGGTTACAACACAGAGATATGGGTGGTATTTAATGAAAGAGAATATTTATGAAACTAACTGCTTGCATCTCATGCAGCATGGACAACTCGAATGAAAAGGT